GAAGCTGTTCTATAAATCAGTGGAGAGGGCTCGTTTTGAATCCAGTCTCCAAAAGGCCAGGAGAAGAATTGGAACAGGGCGTTCAGAGGCGAGAGATGAAAACGCTCAGGAAAGCGCAAAAAGTTTGGGGTCTTCTTGCTTCGGGAAGGGGGCGTCGTCTATAAGTTGATAAACGGGCGAGAGACGGTAGAACGGGAGTTTGTTTCCCATGCCTCGTAGCACAAGAATCCGGGGGTAGTGGATGAAATTGAAAAGCTGGTAAACTCCGCACAGATCAAAGGAAATACTCTCCCTGTTGTCCTGTGGAACTAACCGCCACTGGATTTTGTTGAGTCTGAACATTTGGCAAGGGAGAATGCTAACCCCATTGAAAATCCCTTGGAAAATGCTACTCACTTCTCCATGGCAGAGCTGGGAATCGAGCCCACATGGCCCAGTGCCAACCCTCACATCCAGCATCCTTGCCCCTCCAGCTGCTGTCCCCCTTTTCAGTGTCCCAGCCCTGCTGGCCAGCGTTTGGGGGAATAAAGACTTCTGTCTTTGAAGAGACATGTATGTTGCTGGCCCTTTAACCAGGACCCTTGAGGTCATGTCTGAAAAATGCAATGGGGCAGGGTGAGAGAGGGACAGCAGGGCGAGGGAGGGACGGAGGCAGTGGAAGTAAAGCAGCCGGTCGTGCTCCAATGCTGAGCTGCAGTTCAATGCAAAGGGAACTCCCTGCTCCCGACCTGCTCTGAACAGATGCAAAACTGCCTGCTTCCATGCTTTTCCGGGGGCATCCGGTGCAAACCTCCAATGCAGACCGGTTTGAAACCCTGCTGAGATTGGCTTCAGCTTGCCTCAGTGAATGAAACCTGCTTACATGAATCTCCCAGAAGGAACTGACTGACTCAAGCGACGCCGTTTTCGTAAGCCTTAAATTCAGGATTTGCAGTGGTTTAGTCCTAGATCCACTTAAAACACGGCATTGTTCCCCTGCTGGCTGTTCACTGTTCACCCGCTGGTGCAAGGATTGAGCGCAAAGCCACGCACTCGAAAGTTAGGAAAGGCCAGAATTAACACGGCTTGTGCAACCCAAATTCGGTGTCCTGGTACGTGTGCCCGATGCTCTGGCCGTTAATTCTGTGCTCATGCTCGTTCTCTGCACACTGGTGCATGCCCCGTGCTGGTTGAATCCTTGGAGATATTAGCTGCTAAACATGAAGAACTCTCTACCGTGCAAAGGTTTTTAGCTTGTCCCACTTGAAGTGGATTTTTACAGGGATGAAAAAGGGACGTCCTGAGACAAAGGCCACCCTCCCTGCTAAATTCCAGGTTGCTGCCCATCCCTTAGGCATCTGGGCTCGTGACTTATTGGCTGCAGTATCCCACAAGGTGCGAGGCACTTTCTGAATGCCCCAGGACCGTCCCTACGCAGAGCAGATGATGGCGGAGTGAGAGGCCGGCAGATTAGCACGAGACGAGTTGCAGGAAAGCTACCGACCGCCCCACACGGTTTTGGTGCAGGGGGATCTCATAAGAGGACTGAAACAGAGGATCTAAGGGTCTTGGAGGTGGCGGGGGGGCAGGTGTCAAGGCGTTAGGGACCTACGGGGGGGAGTGGATGGTGAAATGCTAGATCGTTGTGCCAGCCCGCCGCTTTGGCTGCGGCCTCTCTGTCTTCGCATCCCTCCGCTGGCTCTCCCTTCTCCGGTGTATCAGACATTAGCTGCTTGGCTTTGTTTTCAGGGCCGTCCATGCCAGGGCAGATTTGATTTAAATCAAATTGATTTAAGTCACTCGTCAGGAAGACTCCATTTAAGCATGGATTTCTACATAAAAGTGCATTCTTGTTGGTTATTATAACCTTAATACATATTCTTCACAACTCAGAGAGAGATGTAGGTTTCATTTTTAGAAAATACACACACTACATTTTTAAACGGTGATTTATTTTGAAAACTTTTCGGATGAGTTTTACAGCTATATTGGAAAATGAATGAAGGTTTGGTTATTTCATTTACCAAAGGTAATTGAAGCAGATATTTCTGAAGTCAGTGGGAGGTGAACTATCTCCAATTCAACGGGTTAATCATTAATATATGGAGGATTTTCTTGCCAAGCTGTATTAGGAGGAGAACATCACCAGACAGACATTTAAACTGTTTTATTTAACCACAACAACAAAGTTAAGTATTCTGGATTTTTTCTTCAATGGCAAACATATAATATTTTAACAAAACAAGCATCTGTCCCTCGCTTTTCACATTGATCTCCAGACGACCTCTCCTTGTCCAGATCTGTTCCACCCCCAACAATCTTCTGTTCCTTGAACTTTTTGAAACTTTGCACTTTTAGAGAGAGGTCAGGGATTGACTCTGTATACGCAAATTTGCAGAGGGACAATAGTGTTAAGGTCTGGTATTTCTCACCTCTAGATATTTAAAAACATTTTTGCTGTTAACAAGCATGTTACCTCTGGAGACACAAATCCACAGTTGGACAACTTCAAAACTAGGCATCTCTGATGGTATCTTCTAGACTGAGCACTGAGTCCCGGTGGGTCGATAGAAAGATTAACCTAAATAATCTACACAGAAGCCCCTGGAACCCCATAAGATTGTGTCCCTAATCCATGAACTATTGGCACTCATTGACAAAACTTTTCTTAAACATTACATGGATATATTGTCCCGTACTATAGAATTAGAATTTATAATCCCTCTTCCATGATGAGATATCTTTGAGCTATCATGTATCTTAATTCAAACTATCATTAGATAGGTTTTTTCCTCAAAAATCCTTTTATTAAAAAAAAAAAAGATTTAAATCAAAAAAATCTGAGGAAAACCGTGACAACCGCAAAGCTTCTGGGAGTGGCTGAGCTCCAGCCAGCCAGCGTCCCATCTGTAATACCCGGTGTAAGAACCCCACAGTAACCGTGCCCCGTCCCCCCATAGGTCTCATCCTAATCTCGAACAGTCAGTGAGCAGCTCCAGACCTGAAGCCCCAGGTCTAATCTCCCTCCTGCATGAACCGTCACAACTCGGGCAATTCCAGATAAACTGCCCATCCTCCGTTTGATTCTGGCTACGTTCTCCGTCTCGGTGGTATCCTGAGGCAGTGAGTTCCACAGGCGAACGGTGCGTTGTTGAGGAAAAACATTTCCTTTGGTCACAGTCCTGAAGTTGTTACCTTTTCAATTCTGGTGGACGTCCCTTTGCCTCTTGTGTTAAGAGACGGGGAGAACCTGTCTGCCTTTTCTATCCCAGTCGGTATTTTATAGCCCATTATCCTGTCTCCTCTCTAAGGTGGATGACCCCAATCTCTCCTCACAGAGTTTGTCCGGGCCCCTAATGGTTCTCTGAACCCTCGTTAATTCTGCGGGGTGCCAAATTATTCAGAGCGGGTGGCATTTCTGAGCGCTCAGGTGCAGAGAAGGGCTCCTAGGCTGCCCAAGGGAGCAGGTCTTACCAGAGCAGAGATAGTTGGGTTTAGCCTGTCCAAATGCAGGCGAGGAAGGATTGCGGCGGGTCCCCAGGGTGGGAAAGGATCCACTGAATCGAAAGGTTTGAGGATGGAGTTTGCGAAGGGGACAGTATGACAGATGGCCGGAGACAGCACTGGGTGACTCCAGGCCCGGGACTCTTCTGTCGGTGTGGGGACTCTGTCGCTGTGTTGAAAAACGACGCTTGTGTTCTGAGCCGACGGGCTAATTTCTCGCGCGCGCCGTGCATCGCACGTGGCGATGGCCCGTTGCTTCGCCTCACGCAAACGTTGATGTAACGTTTGTGTGTTGCCTCCTGGGGAACTGAGAGAGGCTGCAGCGGAGGGTGGGTGGAATTGGTGTGAGCTGTGGGATTAGAAGCCAGATGTTTCCAGTCCCCATGTGAAGGCAGGACACACCTTTTCCTCTCAGTAGCTTCGCTTGGGGTAGGCTGTAGGATTTCTGTAAGGGAATCCACTCAGCCCTGGGATCTTTCGCAGACCAGGGGGTCATCAAAATGATTTACCTTCCTCGCTACAGTGCCCCCTGATGACATGCTGGCCACCTTCAACCTTTGGGGGTGATCATGGTAACCGCAGGAGTCTTAAGAGCTGGGAGGGGAAGGGGGCCTGGTGGATTAGACCAGGGGGGCTGGGAGCCAGGACTCCTGGGTTCTCTCCCCGGCTCTGGGAAGCGAGGGGGATCTGGTGGATTAGAGCAGGGGGGGCTGGGAGCCAGGACTCCTGGGTTCTCTCCCCGGCTCTGGGAAGCGAGGGGGATCTGGTGGATTAGAGCAGGGGGGGCTGGGAGCCAGGACTCCTGGGTTCTCTCCCCAGCTGTGGGTTGGAAAAGAGGGGTACCTCTGGCACTGGGTGCTGTGGGACTTGGCGAGGGGCGTTGTGTCAGCGGGAACACGCTCTCCTTTGATTCTCTCTTCTATTTACGCTGGGCCCGTATGGTGCCGGGTTTCCTGTGGCCACAGACACAGCTCCATTGTCTAGCGCGTTGACACCCCTCCTCCCACAGTCTCCAGCCACTGCAAGAGGCAGGCCTGGCCTGGCTGCAGATTTTTTGGGGGTTGGGGTGGGGGAGCTTCCCCTTCCTAGCAGGTTGACTGCTGGCAACACAGCGGGTCCTGCGTGGAGACCATGGCTGTGAATTTAAGGCCGGGTTCTAGCTCTGTACAAACGAGCCCCGCCTAGCTCCCTGCTAGGATCCGATTCCAGCTTCCCTGCCCCCCGCAATGATAATCCCTCTGGCTTTTATCAGCGGACCTCAAAGCGCTTGACCGAAAGAAGGTTGTGGGGAAACTGAGGCATGGGGAGGAGGAAGGTCGCTCGTGCGAGGTCACCAAGCTCACCCGCTTGCCTGAGGGCACCCTCCCAGCCCCTGCGTGGGGGGAGCCAGCGGCCCCGTGACTTGGAGACATCCTTGTGACTTTGATGGGAACCGCTTTGCGGCTGGGACCGCAGGGTGATTTTTATGGGCAGAGCTGTGGTAACGTTTTGCGTCTCTTCCTGTCTGTCTCTTGCAGGACAGGCCCGTGAGTTCCCGCGGTGAACACTGAGGGTCACAGGAGAGCCGCCATGGCCGGCGCCTCCGTCAAAGTGGCCGTGAGGGTGCGGCCTTTCAACTCCCGGGAAATCAGCCGGGACGCTAAATGCGTGATCCAGATGCAAGGAAAAACTACCTGTAAGTACCCTTGGGAGGGTGGCTCGGACTGGCAGGGGTAGAGCCGGAGGCCGGCAGGGCTGGCTCTTCGGGTGCATCGCTGGATTTCATGCTTGGCTAAAATAGGGTCTGCCTGCCTCGGTTTCCCCAAACAGCGCGGCTGCAACTTGGTGCTTGGGGATCATTCTCCCGGGCTCCCTGCAGAGCCAGCTCGCCCTGTGACGGGTGTCTAGCCGGCACACGTGAGCAGCGTGACTTCTCAAACCCCGTTAGACGGGGCAAGGGGTATTTTCAACACGTTTCACCTGCGGCATGTCTATGCTTGAGAGTGGATTTGGATTAAGGGAGATTCTCTCTCCACCCCCCACTCTGATCACCCAGACATCCCTTCTCCTTCCTCTGAACTAGTAGGACTGGGCCGTGCCGGGCCAGTGATTTGGGTGGCAGGGGGGTCTGGCTCATGCTCGGGGTCTAACTGATCGCTACATTCGGGGTGGGGCCGGACTTCTCCCCAGGTCAGATTGGCAAGGACCTGGGGACGGTTTTTCCCCTTCCCCCTGCGAGTATCTGTGTTCTGCTTCTCTCCTCGCTGGGCGGTGGCCCGGGAATGCGGACCTGCCCCGAATTCCCTCGAAGGGACCCGGTACGCCCTGCCCCGGGCGTCGCAAGCTGCTGTCTCTCTGGTTATCCCGGCCCTGGTTTCTCAGCTCCTCCGTTCCTGAGCCAGAGGCACGAGCGCACCTGCCTTCTGCGCCCCAGCCAGCCTAGGGTCTATGTTAGAGCAGCCCCTGGGCTGCTCCCGCTTCCCCGGTGCGCTGTGGGCCTGGGGAAGCCAGGAATGAAAACCCAGAGTGCAGTGGGTTCCAGATCCCTGCCCCATGCGCCGAGGGCGGGGATTGGAGCCGGGCTGGTGTATAAATCCTTGTACTAGGCAACGTAGGATTGATCTCAGGGTGGCTGGGAGCGTAGGGGTAACCCCGAGGTAGATGTGCCCTAGGAAGTGCGGCTGGGTCTCTTCCGTCTCTTAGTTCGTACGGGGCTCGCCCTCCACCCTGGCCCCTCTCTCCAGAGTGGAGCAGGGAGCAGCCCCGATGCGACGGTGACGGTCCCCGAGGTTGGGAAAGCCTCGACTGGGCATTTGCCATCCGGCTCCGCAGTCACGGGGTCTGTGTTGGGGGGTAGGTGTTTCGGGATCTCCCCTCTCCACCCCCCTTGGCCTTATTCGTTTTTCCAGACCGTGCTGTGTATCTGTGCAGCACCTGGGGGGGCCCCCGATCTCGATTGAATGCGGCTCCCGTGCACACGCCGGCCCCTTCGCGGTACGAACGACCCCATCGTTGTGCGGACGGGGAAAACCCACAGTTTAACCCGGCTCTGGGCAGCTGCCTCTGGTTAACCCCCTGCCTGCCTGCTGCCGGCGTCTGTGGTGCGTTCGTACAGCCCCGACCACGGTGGTAGGAGAGAGCGAAGGCGACAGCATCACCCACAAGGAACATAAATCAGCCACGAGATGGCACTGGTACATAGTCCTGTAAATTCCCCATGTGCGAGCAAGTGTTGAGTGCTTGGAGACATGCTGGACCATTGTTATGGGGGTTGTGGGGTGGGTGTGTGTTGGGGAGTTTTTGCAGTGTAAGTTATTTGGCGGGATCGGTCCAAGCAGCATGAACGTTCGCTTCCCGCTCCGATCTCTCCGCCAGCTAGACTCCCCCCAGATCGGCTAGCCTGCCCCCAGAGCTTCCCCGAATTAAGTCCTGGGTGAACTAGAGTTTTGGTCTTGTCTGAGGGTCCTGTCGGAAGGAAGGGGCATCTCCCAACCACAAATAATTCCCAGTCCTTAAAAAGGCAAAATGGAAAACCAGAGGGGTACGGGTGGCAAACCAGCTGAAGAACCCAGGCCAGAGAGTTCCCCCAGCCGCCTGGCCCTAGAAAATAATTAATGGGATTTGTTTTAATTTCCCTTTAGCTCCTGAGCCTTTAGGAGGGTGACACTTACAAGCTTTGCTCTGCCCCCGTGAGAACTAGAGACTCACGATCTCTTTGCTAAAAGGGGAAGCAGAGACCGCCCTGTAATTCCCATGCCTCCGGTAGCTGGGGCTTTACCAGCCCCCTAGCACAAGGATGGGACTAAAAAAGAGCTGGTACCAGGGAAGGTGGAAAGGGCGCAGAAGGGAGCGCGTTCCTGCCAGGCTGAGCGTGGCGCGCAGGGCGTGAGCTCTTGACGGGGTTACAGGGGAAACGGGATCTCGGAGGGAGGCATGTCCCCAGTTGTGTGATGTGGAGGTGGGGTGTCTGTGTGTCAGACGCCTGCAGGTCATGCTGGCTTGGAGACATCCAGGAGTCCTGGCTCCCAGCCCTTCCCCGCTCTGAGCCACCAGCCCCCACTCCCCTCCCTGGGAGCTCAGGATCTGTTCCTTTGTCGTCCGTAAAATCCTTTTGCAGAAAAAGAAAACCCACTGACGAATTTGCAGGGGGCGGGGGGGGGGGGGGGTGGTTAACATGGCTGCCCCCGCATGTCCAGTGCTGCTCCCTGCTGCCAAGTCCATGTGTTGGGGGGAATCTGGGTTTTCGAACCCAACGTGGGGTGGGGCTGACGGCCCCCCGAGCTGGGCAGAATGGCTCAGGAGATCAGCAAGCGCCCCCTGCCCCCTCACAGGAATGGGCTCAGGCTCTCTGCAAACTCAGGCAGACGTCGGGCTCAGAGACACTTCACTGAAAAAGGCAGGAGCCCACAGGTGTGGCGTGACTCCGGGAGCTGGGGCCTGGAGCACCGAGGCCGGGGGGAGCAGGGATGCAACCTCGGAGCATCCTCTCCAGGGCTGGCATCTGGCAGGACCAGCTGCCGGGAGCCTGGATGCCGGCTAAATATAGCCGGAACGTCCTCAACTTGTTATGGTCCCGGGAGCTGCCAAGACGTCACTCAGCCGGCCCGGGGAGCTGGGAGGCCTTGTAAAGGCAGCCGTGTGCCGGCCAGAGCCGGCCCCGCGTCAGAGCCGGGGCCCGGCCGGCTTAAAAGGGGGATGCCAGGGTCTGCGCCTGGTTCCCCGTTCGCTGCTCAGCCTCTGTCCGGGTTTGGCCTAGAGCTCGCTGCCCTCCCAGAGCCAGGGAGAGAACCCAGGAGTCCTGGCTCCCAGCCCCCTCCCCCGCTCTAACCCACTGCCCCCACTCCCCTCCCAGAGCCATGGAGAGAACCCAGGAGTCCTGGCTCCCAGCCCCCTCCCCCGCTCTAACCCACCTGCCCCCACTCCCCTCCCAGAGCCAGGGAGAGAACCCAGGAGTCCTGGCTCCCAGCCCCCCCCCCCCCCCCGCTCTAACCCACCTGCCCCCACTCCCCTCCCAGAGCCAGGGAGAGAACCCAGGCCCCCTCCCCGCTCTAACCCACCTGCCCCCCACTCCCCTCCCAGAGCCGTGGAGAGAACCCAGGAGTCCTGGCTCCCAGTCCTGCCTGCTGTAACCCACCTGCCCCACTCCCCTCCCAGAGCCAGGGAGAGAACCCAGGAGTCCTGGCTCCCAGCCCCCCCCCCCCCCCCCCGCTCTAACCCACCTGCCCCCCACTCCCCTCCCAGAGCCATGGAGAGAACCCAGGAGTCCTGGCTCCCAGTCCTGCCTGCTGTAACCCACCTGGCCCCACTCCCCTCCCAGAGCCAGGGAGAGAACCCAGGAGTCCTGGCTTCCAGCCCCCTCCCCCCTCCCCGCTCTAACCCACCTGCCCCCCACACCCCTCCCAGAGCCAGTGGAGAGAACCCAGGAGTCCTGGCTCCCACCCCGCCCCCACTCCCCTCCCAGAGCCAGGGAGAGAACCCAGGAGTCCTGGCTCCCAGCCCCTCCCCCCTGCTCTAACCCACCTGCCCCCCACTCCCCTCCCAGAGCCGTGGAGAGAACCCAGGAGTCCTGGCTCCCAGCCCCCACTCCCCTCCCAGAGCCGGGGAGAGAACCCAGGAGTCCTGGCTCCCAGCCCCCCCTGCTCTAACCCGCCGGCCCCTGCTCCCCTCCCAGCACCAGTCCTGGTTCCCAGTCTCTCCCAGTTTGAAAGCTGGGAATATTTATTTACGTTATCATCTCTTCAGAGCAGGGGCTGCGCCTCGCCCTGAGTCTGCGACGCGCCCGGCACAGGGCAGGTTTCTGATCTCGGCGGGGCCCCGGGGTGGGGTGGGGGGGCTGGCTGGACATGTGCCCCGCACCCGCTCGCTCACCCCGTGTGCCGTCTCCCCACAGGTATCACCAATCCCAAGCTGACAAAAGATGCTCCCAAAAACTTCACCTTCGATTATTCCTACTGGTCCCACACCTCGGTGAGTGCGCGGAGAACTGGGGGGCGCGGAGCCGGGAGGGCTGGGAGCCAGGACGCCTGGGTTCTCTCCCTGGTTCTGGGAGGGGAGTGGGGTCTGGTGGGTTAGAGCCGGGGGGCTGGGAGCCAGGACGCCTGGGTTCTCTCCACGGTGTGGGAGGGGGGAGGGGGAGAGGGGGGGGGGGGGGCCGGCGCGGCTCCCCCGTCGGGAGGGGAGGGGGCGGGGAGAGGGGGGGGGAACAGCTGGGTTCTCTCCACGGTTCTGGGAGGGGAGTGGGGTCTGGTGGGTTAGAGCGGGGGGGCTGGGAACCAGGACGCCTGGGTTCTCTCCCCGGCTCTGGGAGTTGGAGGCGGGGGATTGAGGGGCACCGGCAGAGCCATAAAGGGCCCTCACCCCACGGCCGTGTCTCCCCCCCCGCCCCAGGAGGAGGACCCCAGCTTTGCCTCCCAGCGACAGGTGTACGAGGACATCGGGGAGGAGATGCTGCTTCACGCCTTCGAGGGCTACAACGTCTGTATCTTCGCCTACGGCCAGACCGGGGCCGGCAAGTCCTACACCATGATGGGCAGGCAGGAGCCGGGGCAGCAGGGGATCATCCCCCAGGTGGGCGCCGGGGGGCCGTGCTGGGGGGTGCCGGGGGGGGGGGCGCCGTGCCGTGTTTTCATCTTCCTCTCCTTGTCTCTCGCTCCAGCTGTGTGAGGATTTGTTCACCCGGGTCACCGAGAGCCACTCCCCCGACCTGTCCTACTCCGTGGAGGTGAGTCGCCCGCCCTGACTCCCCCTCGGGCCCCCCAGCGTGACCCAGACCCCCCCTCAGACTCCCCCCAGCCCTCCCCCAACTCTGACTCCCGGCCCTTTCCTGCCCCCAACCTCCCCAGCGTGAAACCCCCCCCCCAGCGCTCCCCCAGCCCCTCCCCACTCCCCCAAGTGTGACCCTGACCCCCCCAAGACCCCCCAGTGGTTCCCAACCCCTCCAGTGCTCCCCCAACTGACCACCAGCCCCTCCCGGCCCCCCGACCTCCCCAGTGTGATCCTCACACCACCACCCCCTGGAGTCTCCCAGTGCTCCCCTGACCCCCAGCCCCCCCCATGCCTCCTCCAACCCCGCTCCCACTCCCCGCCCCCCCAGCACTGCCCCACCCCTACCCTCGTGGCCATCTCCCCCCGCCCCAGGTGAGCTACATGGAGATCTATTGCGAGCGGGTGCGGGACCTGCTGAACCCCAAGAGCCGGGGGAACCTGCGGGTTCGGGAGCACCCCATCATGGGCCCCTACGTGGAGGACCTGTCCAAGCTGGCCGTCACCTCCTTCGCTGACATCCACGACCTCATGGACTGCGGGAACAAGGCCAGGTGAGAGCCCCGCCCCCGGCTGCTGCGGGGAACCCAGGAGTCCTGCCTCATCAGCTGCTTCAGGAGCGGGGGCTGGGAGCCAGGACTCCTGGGTTCTCTCCCCGGCTCTGGGAGGGCAGTGGGGGCTGGTGGGTCAGAGCGGGGGGGCTGGGAGCCAGGACTCCTGGGTTCTCTCCCCGGCTCTGGGAGGGCAGTGGGGGCTGGTGGGTCAGAGCTTGGGGGCTGGGAGCCAGGACTCCTGGGTTCTCTCCCCGGCTCTGGGAGGGCAGTGGGGGCTGGGAGCCAGGACTCCTGGGTTCTCTCCCCAGCTCTTGGAGGGCACTGGGGGCTGGTGGGTCAGAGCATTGGGGGCTGGGAGCCAGGACTCCTGGGTTCTCTGCCTGGCTCTGGGAGGGGAGTGGGGGCTGGGTGGGACTCCAGAGTTCTCTCCCCAGTGGAGGGAGGGGGCTGGTGAGCCAGAGCTTCCTGGGGTTGGGGACTCTCCCCGGCTCTGGGAGGGCAGTGGGGGGGGCTGGGAGCCAGGACTCCTGGGTTCTCTCCCCGGCTCTTGGAGGGCACTGGGGGCTGGTGGGTCAGAGCAGGGGGGCCTGGGAGCCAGGACTCCTGGGTTCTCTCCCCGGCTCTGGGAGGGCAGTGGGGGCAGGTGGGTCAGAGCAGGGGGGGCTGGGAGCCAGGACTCCTGGGTTCTTACCCCCCTCCCCGTCTCTCACCCCGCCCAGGACCGTGGCCGCCACCAACATGAACGAGACCAGCAGCCGCTCGCACGCCGTGTTCACCATCGTCTTCACGCAGAGGAGACACGACGAGCTGACCGACCTCGACACCGAGAAGGCAATGCGGGGGTCAGGGCACTGGTGGGGCCGGCCGGGCCCCGTCACCCATAGCGGGCCAAGCCTGGCTGGAAGGGGGCGGGGCCAGGGCCAGGCCTGGAGCGAGTTTCCTGGTTCTCAGCCTGGCTCAGTGAGCTCAGGGCAGGCTGGGGCGGGGGTGTTTGCGGGAGGGGGGGGCGTACGAAGCCGCTGCCAGTCCAGCCCTCCTGACCCCCCCCCTCCCCTGCTTCCCCCTGCCCAGGTCAGCAAAATCAGCCTGGTGGATCTGGCCGGCAGCGAGCGAGCCGAGTCATCCGGCGCGAAGGGCATGAGGTTAAAGGTGAGGGGGGGCCCCCAGAACTGTTAACCCCCCCTCCCGAAGCTGCTGCCCCTTGGGGGGGAGGGGAGGGGTGGGGGGTGCTGGAGTAGAGCGTCGGCCATGGGGCTTCGGGAGTGCCGCTGGATTAGCCTGCGGGAAAGGGCTAAACCCCCCACAGTTCAACAGGAGCCAGGGAGCTCCTGGGGGGTCTCCTGAGGGGGCCGGCTGGCCGAAGCCCCGTGGGCACGGCTACTCGAACGCGGCCGGAGTGGGTGGTCCTGTTGGTGGGGCCGGACCCCCGGGGGTGGGGGGTCTCTTTAACCCCCCTAACGCTCTGGCACTCCCTCCCCTCCACAGGAAGGTGCGAACATCAACAAATCCCTCACCACGCTGGGGAAGGTGATCTCCGCCCTGGCCGAGATGGTGAGTGCTGGGGGCGGGGGGATCACACACGCACCCCACAACTGACTTCGGGGTCCCTGTAGTGCCAGGCCCTGGGGGTCGAGCTGGGATCGGGGCCCCCCGAGTCCCGGCACACCAGACCCCTGGGAGCGACTCATCCCCCTCGGCCGGGACCCGGGCGCCCAGTCTCGGGGTTCTCGGTCCCCGCGGAGCCCCCAGGTTAGCATGGAGACACCCCACCTGGCCAAGCTGCCGGGGTTCCCAATCTGTCTCCGGCACCGCCAGTCCTGGGGAGGGGACATCGGGGGTGGGTTTTGCCTCCCAGCTGTCGCACCAAGGGGAAACTGAGGCAGAGGTTGGCCTCGCCAGAATATAGTACAGCTAATCCCTGCTGGGTCATGTTGGGGGCGTCAGCCCCTTCCCCAGCAGGGCCCCCCCCAATCATGTTCTCACCCCCCCGTTATTCCCTCGCTCCAGCAAAACAAGAAGAAGAAATCCGATTTCATCCCTTACCGCGACTCGGTTCTCACCTGGCTGCTCAAGGAGAATCTGGGTAAGGCCCCCCTGATCCCTCAGCCGTGGGGGTGCACTGTGTGGGGAGGGGGCTGCAGGCAGGGAGGGGGGGCACGGGACAGTCCTGGTCAGGGGGGTGGGATATGGGTGTGGCCGCTGGGGGAATGGGGGGAGAAGGAGGGTATCCCTTGGTGGGGTACGAGATAATGGGGGGAAGGAGGCCCCCCCGGCTAATTAACCTTCCCTCCCCCCCCGCAGGCGGTAACTCCCGCACGGCCATGATCGCCGCCCTGAGCCCAGCCGACATCAGCTACGAGGAGACGCTCAGCACCCTCCGGTGAGCCCCAAGGGGTGGGGGGCTGGTGCGTGTGTCTGAGGGAGGATGGATGGATGGAAAGGGGTGGGGATGTGGGGCGGGGGCTGGGCGCATGCAGGGGGGCAGGGCTGCTCTCTCTCGTCCAGGGACGCTGACGACACCCCCCCCCCCCGGCCCCCCCCAGCTACGCGGACCGCACCAAGCAGATTCGGTGCAACGCGGTGATCAACGAGGACCCCAATGCCCGGCTCATCCGGGAGCTGAAGGAGGAGGTGGCCCGGCTCAGGGAGCTGCTCTTCGCCCAGGGCCTCTCCGACGCCCCCCTCCCCGGCGGTGAGTGCCCCCGCCCCCAGCACACATGCATGGGGGCAGAGTTAAGGGGATTTGGTGGGAGGGGATGGACAGGGTTCCCCCACTAAACGCTGGTGGCTGGAATGGGGGAGAGGGAGTGGGTGGGGAAAGGGGGCTCTGTTTTTAAAATGGGGTCTGCCCCCCCCAACCCCCACCCCATTTGGGCAGCGCTCTGGGCATGGGGACAGGGCAGGCCAAGGCCGTGGGTTACATGGGGGTGGTCCAGGGGAAGTGGACGTGGGAGGGGGCACAGGAGGAGCTGGGGGCGTGACCAGCCCCTCAAACCCCCCAATGCTTCGTTCCAGGCTTGAAGCGGGAGGAGCCCGACAGCCACCCCCCTGCTCCCGCACTGCCCTACGACCCCGCGGCCGAGCCCCAGTCCCCCGCCCCCCTCAACGGGGGGTCCGAGCCCTTCCCCACCCTGGAGGAGCAGGTCATCTGCACAGAGGAGGCTATGGAGAGGCTGCAGGTAGGGGATATAACTGCCCCCCAACCTTGAACAATTCCCCCACCAGCCCCCCAGATCCCACAGCCTGCCCTCCAGCGGCCAGCCCCCTTTCTCTAGCTCAGTTTGCACCAGAGCCGGAAGAGAACCCAGGAGTCCTGGCTCCCAGCCCCCCCCGCCCTGGCATGTCAGGCAGTCTCCCCACGAACACCCCAGTCTCCTGCTCTGGGCAGGGTGGGGCAGGTGAGGGGTGCAGGGACCTGGCTCATCGGGGTGAGGAGAGACGGGGCCCCCCTGTGCTGGGGGTGACCTGAGCCCAACTCTCCTTCGGCCTGCGCAGGAGACGGAGAAAATCATCGCGGAGCTGAACGAGACATGGGAGGAGAAGCTGCGGAAAACCGAGGCCCTTCGGATGGAGAGGTGAGCGCTGGGACTGACCTCGCCCAGAGGTGGGCGCATCTTGGCCCCGGGTGAGGGGTCCCTGTGTCACCCCCCGCCCCAGAGGTGGGCGCATCTCGGCCCCGGGCGAGGGGTCCCTGTGTCACCCCCCACCCCGCCCCAGAGGTGGGCGCTTCTCGGCCCTGGGCGAGGGGTCCCTGTGTCACCCCCCGCCCCGCCCCAGAGGTGGGCGCATCTCGGCCCCGGGCGAGGGGTCCCCGGATAATGAGCCGCCCCGCCCCAGAGGTGGCCGCATCTTGGTGGAAGTTTGGGGGGCGCACGGGGCAGTGACGTGGGTCTCTCGCCGCAGGGAGGCGCTCCTGGCCGAGATGGGCGTGGCCGTGCGGGAAGACGGTGGCACGGTGGGGGTCTTCTCCCCGAAAAAGGCAAGTGGCGTGGGGCTGGGGGGCTCATCGGGCAGCGATGGGGTGACACCACAGACAGGCGACGTCCGTCCAGCCCTGCGCAGAGCCCAACCGAGATCGGGGTCGGTGCCGGGCACCCCACAGAACCACCCGCTCCCCAACTTTTCCCTCTGTAATTACCCCCCATCCCTCTCTGCACCCAACTCTCGTCAGTCCCCGAATCCTGTGGGGGGCTGGGCCCCTCCATCCCAGAATCCTCCGTGGTGGTGGGGGGGGGGGGGGGCCGGGCCCCCCAAAGCCCTGCCCCCCCCCGCTGACCGGCTCCCCCTCTGCAGACCCCGCACCTGGTGAACCTGAACGAGGACCCGCTCATGTCGGAGTGTCTACTATACCACATCAAGGACGGCGTGACCAGGTGCGGGGCGGGCTGGGGTACCGCGGGGGGGGGTGGGAGCCAGGTTTGGGGCGTCCTGCCCTGCCCCCCTCTCACCTCCCCCCCCGTCTCCCCGCAGGGTGGGCCAGGTGGACGTCGACATCAAGCTGACGGGGCAGTTCATCAACGAGCAGCATTGCCTTTTCCGGAGCCGCACCGGCCCCGCCGGGGAAGGTAGCAATGGGGGGGCCCCCCAAGTCCCCAGCCAGCACCCCCAGGCTTCGTCTCTCCCCTGGGCAAACTGGTCACCTGGGCGTTTTGTTCCCGACCCCCCCACCAGGCTACAAAGTGGGGGCCGGGCTCTGCACCCCGGTATCCCGTCGCCATCACACCTGCCCAGCGCCGATCCCACCCCGGAGATACGTGGGGAAACTGAGGCACGCACGCGGTACTCAGACAAAACCATTGAGAACGTTCCCGCTTCGGCACAGTGGGGTCCTCGGGGGCAGGACGCTCCCTCAGCTGGGCTCCCCCCTCCCCTGCCCCACAAAGGGGGGGGCAGGGGGAGTCTCTTGCGGACCCGGACCAGGACCGCACTGACTCTAACGCTTCTTTCCCCCTCTTTTGTGCTGGCGGGAGGCGGCTGAGACGCGGAGCCACCCAGGTACGGATCGCTGGTGCCCCCCGCACACGCCCCCTGCCGCCGGTGTCCGTGGGTCGTCCCCCCTGCACTCCCGCTCCCCAACAGCCAGCCCCACGGCGCGGGGCAATCATCCCTCCCACAAGCCGTGTGCCAGGAGTCCCCCCACCCCACGCCTGGCACTCACCTCCAATCCACCCTTTCCGTGGGACTGGGACCCCCACTGCCTGCCTCCACGGGCATGTCTCATGGGGGCTCCCTCTCCCCACAGCCATTGTCACGCTGGAGCCGTGCGAGGGGGCTGAGACCTACGTCAACGGGAAGCAGGTGACGGAGCCGCTGGTCCTGAGGTCAGGTAGGGGCAGCTCCTCAGACGCCTGGGTTCTCTCCCCGGCTCTGGGAGGGGAGCGGGGCTGGTGGGTGAGAGCGGGGGGGCTGGGAGCCAGGACTCCTGGGTTCTCTCCCCGGCTCTGGGAGGCGAGTGGGGGCTGGTGGGTGAGAGCAGGGGGGCTGGGAGCCAGGACTCGTGGGTTCTCTCCCCAGCTCGGGAGGGGAGTGGAGGCTGGGGGGCTGGAGGAGGTGCCAGGACTCCTGGGTTCTCTCCCTGGCTCTGGGACAGGGGTGGGGGCTGGTGGGTTAGAGCAGCGGGGCTGGGAGCCAGGACTCCTGGGTTCTCTCCCCGGCTCCGGGAGGGGAGTGGGGTCTGGCGGGATAGAGCAGAGGGGGCTGGGAGCCAGGACTCCTGGGTTCTCTCCCCGGCTCTGGGAGGCGCGTGGGGGCTGGTGGGTGAGAGCGGGGGGGCTGGGAGCCAGGACTCCTGGGTTCTCTCCCCGGCTCTGGGAGGGGAGTAGGGGCTGGTGGGTGAGAGCAGGGGGGGCTGGGAGCTGGGACTCCTGGGTTCTCTCCCCAGCTCGGGAGGGGAGTGGAGGCTGGGGGGCTGGAGAAGGTGCCAGGACTCCTGGGTTCTCTCCCTGGCTCTGGGAGGGGAGTAGGGGCTGGTGGGTGAGAGCAGGGGGGGCTGGGAGCCAGGACTCCTGGGTTCTCTCCCCGGCTCTGGGAGGGGAGTAGGGGCTGGTGGGTGAGAGCAGGGGGGGCTGGGAGCCGGGACTCCTGGGTTCTCTCCCCAGCTCGGGAGGGGAGTGGAGGCTGGGGGGCTGGAGGAGGTGCCAGGACTCCTGGGTTCGATCCCTGCATCTGCCCCCTCCCGCTCAGGTAACCGCATCGTGATGGGCAAGAACCACGTTTTCCGCTTCAACCACCCGGAGCAGGCGCGGCTGGAGCGGGAACGCAGCGCCCCCGCCGAGCCCCCCGCCGAGCCCGTCGACTGGAACTTCGCCCAGCGCGAGCTGCTGCAGGAGCAGGGCATCGACATCAAGCTGGAGATGGAGAAGAGGTGGGGGCCCGGGCCCCCCGGCTCCCAGAGCACACGGCGGGAATGCCCGAGAGACCCCCAGGGCCTTCTGGGATTGGGAGGATGGGCTGCCCCGCCCAGGGGGATTTTGGGCCTGGGGAGTGGGGCGTCCCCCTGCCCCGCCCCGGGGGTTCTGGTGCCGGGGGGCTTGTCCCCAGGTGGGGGTCGAGGGGGCTGCCCCAGTCTCACGGCGTCTCCCACCCCAGGCTCCAGGACCTGGAGAACCAGTACCGCCGGGAGAAGGAGGAGGCCGATCTGCTCCTGGAGCAGCAGAGGCTGGTAAGGGGGCGGGGGGGGCAGTGGGCTGAGGGGGCTGGATTTGGGGGGCAGGGAGCTCAGGCAGGCAGGAGGCAGCGGAAGGGGAGGGGCGAGCAAACGGGGGCGGTCTCAGATTTCCTGGGGGGGGGCAGAGCGAGGTGGGGGCAATTGGGCTGGACAGGCTGGGGATGAGGGGGGCCATTCTGACCCCCCCGTCTTGTGTCTTTCACCCACGACCCCTGGACGTGGGTATAGACAAGCCGGTCAGGGGCGTGAGGCTAGAATACGGGGCACAGAGCGGGGACGGGGGTGCCGGCCGGCGGTGCTGACCCCGTCTCTCCCCATCCCGGCAGTACGCGCACAGCGGGGACGACTCGGACAAGCGCTCGTGCGAGGGGCCCTCGTGCGAGGAGGGGCTGAGAGGGGCTGGGGAGGGAGCCGCGGAGCCGGCTCGGGGGTGCCGGCCGGCGGTGCTGACCCCATCTCTCCCCATCCCGGCAGTACGCGGACTCGGACAGCGGGGACGACTCGGACAAGCGCTCGTGCGAGGGGCGCTCGTGCGAGGAAGGGCTGGGAGGGGCCGGGGAGGGAGCCGCGGAGCCGGCTCGGGGGTGCCGGCCGGCGGTGCTGACCCCGTCTCTCCCCATCCCGGCAGTACGCGCACAGCGGGGACGACTCGGACAAGCGCTCGTGCGAGGGGCGCTCGTGCGAGGAAGGGCTGGGAGGGGCCGGGGAGGGAGCCGCGGAGCCGGCTCGGGGGTGCCGGCCGGCGGTGCTGACCCCGTCTCTCCCCATCCCGGCAGTACGCGCACAGCGGGGACGACTCGGACAAGCGCTCGTGCGAGGGGCACTCGTGCGAGGAGGGGCGGGGAGGGAGCCGCGGAGCCGGCTCGGGGGTGCCGGCCGGCGGTGCTGACCCCGTCTCTCCCCATCCCGGCAGTACGCGGACTCGGACAGCGGGGACGACTCGGACAAGCGCTCGTGCGAGGAGAGCTGGCGGCTCATCTCCTCGCTGCGGCAGAAGCTGCCGGCCACCAACGTGCAGAGCATCGTGAAGCGCTGTGGTGTGCCCAGCAGCGGCAAGCGGCGGGAGCCGCTCCGGGTCTACCAGATCCCCCAGCGCCGGCGCCTGGGCAAGGACCCCCGCTGGGTCACCCTGGCCGACCTGAAGATGCAGGCGGTGAAGGAGATCTGCTACGAGGTGGCGCTGAACGATTTCCGCCAGGCCCGGCAGGAGATCGAGGCCATGAGCATCGTGAAGATGAAGGAGCTGTGCCGGCTCTACGGGAAACGCGACCCCAACGAGAAGGAGAGCTGGCGGGCCGTGGCCCGGGACGTCTGGGACACCGTGGGCGGGGGCGAGGAGCCGGAGGGCCGCGGCGGCGGGGGCGCCAACCCGGCGGTGGACGACCTGCGGGCCCACATCGACAAGCTGACCGACATCCTGCAGGAGGTCAAGATCCAGAACAACATGAAGGACGAGGAGATCCGGGCCCTGCGCCACCGCATGGTGAAGATGGAGAGGGTCATCCCCATCGCCCAGGTGAGCGGAGAACCCAGGCGTCCGGGCTGCGACCCGCCAGCCCCCACTCCCCTCCTGGGTTCGCTCCCCGGCCCTGGGAGTCCTGGCTCCCAGACTCCCCTGCTCTGACCGACCACCCTCCCAGAGCCGGGGAGTGAACCCAGGAGTCCTGGCTCCCAGCCCCCCTGTTCTGACCCACCAGATCCCGCTGCTCTCCTAGGGCCGGGGAGAGAACCCAGGAGTCCTGGCTCCCAGCCCCCCCTGCTCTCACCCACCAACCCCCCCTCCCCTCCCCTCCCCTCCCAGAGCCGGGGACACAACCCAGGCATCCGGGCTCCCAGCCTTCCCTGCTCTCACCTACCAGACCCCACTCCTCTCCGCTCCCAGAGCTGGGGACAGAACCCAGGCGTCCGGGCTCCCAGCCTTCCCTGCTCTCACCCACCAGACCCCACTCCTCTCCGCTCCCAGAGCCGGGGAGCGAACCCAGGAGTCCTGGCTCCCAGCCCCCCTGCTCTCACCCACCAACCCCCCCTCCCCTCCCCTCCCCTCCCAGAGCCGGGGACAGAACCCAGGCATCCGGGCTCCCAGCCTTCCCTGCTCTCACCCACCAGACCCCACTCCTCTCCGCTCCCAGAGCCGGGGAGCAAACCCAGGAGTCCTGGCTCCCAGCCCCCCTGCTCTGACCCACCAGAGCCCGCTGCTCTCCTAGGGCCGGGCAGCGAACCCAGGAGTCCTGGCTCCCAGCCCCCCTGCTCTGACCCACCAGAGCCCGCTGCTCTCCTAGGGCCGGGCAGCGAACCCAGGAGTCCTGGCTCCCAGCCCCCCTGCTCTGACCCACCAGAGCCCGCTGCTCTCCTAGGGCCGGGCAGCGAACCCAGGAGTCCTGGCTTTGCTGTGTACTGGCCACTTCTCACCAGCAGGTGGAGCCCAAGCGTCACATCTGTGCACTGCCTTGGGCTCAGCTGGGTCTAGTTTCAGACTCGTCTGCAGGAGCAGGGGGCTGCGGGTCTGGTGTGAGGGGCACCGGCCCAGCACCGCATTGTGTCAGGCGCTGTACATGCACAATGCAGCAGTGTCGTATGCCAAGGGACAGGCCCCCACCCCCCCAGCCTCCTGCCCAGCAGTGGAAGGGACTCGGGGCCTGGCTCCCAGCCCCCCTTGCTCTAACCCACCCGCTCCCCTCCCAGAGCCGGGGAGAGAACCCAGGAGTCCTGGCTCCCCCCCCCCACCCTAGTTCCCCAGCTCTCTGCTCCGGAGGCGGAACTCGGGCATCTTGCCCCCTAACACCTCCCCCGTGTGCCGGCAGGAGGACGGGGTGGACGAGGACCTGGAGAACGACTGGAGCTCCCCGCTGTTCGAGGCGGGGCTGGCGGATGAGGCGGGGTCCCGGGACCGGGCGGGGAGCCCGGAGTCCCTGTGCGCCCGGGAGGAGCCAGAGCGGAGCTACGCGCGGGTGTGCCGGCTGATGGAGCAGGACCCGGCTTTCCGGCGCGGCCGCCTCCGCTGGCTGAAGCAGGAGCAGGCCCGGCTCCAGAACCAGCAGCAGCTCGGCAAGGGCCTCCGGCGCCAGCCCCACGCCCCCGGCAAGTTCGTGCCCCCCCAGGACTGCAAGCTGCGTTTCCCCTTTAAGAGCAACCCCCAGCACCGCTACTCCTGGGGCCCCAACACCGCCTTCATGGTGGCCGGTGGCGAGGAGCCGGAGCCGGAGGGCGACGGCCTGGGGCAGGAGCCAGCCCCGGGGTCGCCCCGGCGCCCCGGCGGCCCCCAGCACAAACACTGCAGCCAGCAGCCGGCCCAGCGTCCCCACCGGCGCAACTCCCTGGACGGGGGGAGCCGGGCCAAGCCCTCCCGCCCCGGCGCCCCGGAGCACTACCAGTCCCGCAAGCACAACTATTACCCGCAGCACCGCCAGCCTTACCCGCAGCACCGCCCCTACCTGGGCCCCCGCCCGCCCCACGCCACCCCGCCCCGCATGCGCCGGCAGCGCTCGGCCCCCGAGCTGCAGGACCAGGAGACCCCGGTGTAACCGCCGCCCCCCCGGGGGGGCCGCCTCTGGCGTGGAGGGTCATGGGGAATGCCAGAGACGGCAGCCAAGCTGCAGAGGACCATGGGAACGTGAGACGAGCCGCAGCGGAGTGTGGGGAAGCCAGGGGGCGACGGCGGCGCTGCACGGGGGCTCGTGGGAAAATCAGGGAGTGGAGGATCATGGGAAATGGGGGCAGGCCGCCGAGGGTCATGGGAAAGTTGCAGGGGGGAGTAAGTGCGGCGCTGCAGAGGATCACGGGACGTTACGGTGAGCCACGTTGGATCCTGGGGCGATTGCGGAGTAGAGGATCATGGGAAATCAGGGTGAACTGCAGAGGATCATGGGACATTAGGGTGAGCCATGTTGGATCATGGGGAAAATCAGGGAGTGGAGGATCATGGCAAGCCATGGGGGCTCATGGGAAAATTGCAGAGTGGAGGATCATGGGGAAATCAGGGTGAACCGCAGAGGATCATGGGGAAAAGCGGGGAGTGGAGGATTGTGAGAAAGCAGGGTGGGTTGCAGAGGATCATGGGAAATGGAGCCAGGGGACAAGTTGCAGAGGATTGTGGGAAGTGGGGATGGGGCGGGTGAGCCGCAGAGGACTGTGGGAGCTCCCATTCTGGGGATGGGCGGGAAACTCCCCCGGGAGCCAGCCGGCTTGGCCCCATGCCCCCAGGGGTCTCTGGGTGCTGGTGCTGGGAAGAGTGGGGAGACCCCTGGTCCCAAAGGCCCCCCCCGGGGGTGCGTCGCCCACCTTGGGCCCTGCTCACCCAAGGACAATCAGGTTAATTGTAAACCCCCCCTTCCTTGTCGCACCCTTGGGGGGGGGCTTGTCTTGGCCACCCCACCCCATACAGCTGCTGCTGGAGGGGGCTGCAGGGCATGGGGCTCCCCTACAAGCCAGAACTATGGAGGGGTAAAGGAAGCCACGGGAGTAGGGCCAGATGTGGGACTGGGGCTGCAGGGGGAGCCAGGACTCCTGGGTTCTCTCCCAGGCTCTGGGAGGGGAGTGGGTGCTAGAGAGTGGGGGTGGGGGTGGGGCTGGGAGCCAGGACTCCTGGGTTCTCTCCCTGGCTCTGGGAGGGGAGTGGGGGCTGGTGGGCCCCAGGACTTGCATTTCCCTGGCTGTGGTTGGGGGGCTGGTGTCTAGATGGGTCCTGAGCCTTTAAGTGGGGGGGGGGGGGTTCACAGCTGTCCCCCAATCCTGCCCCCCTGGCCTCAGCAAAGGCCTGGCTGATTTCCAAAGCCTCCAGTGCCCCCTAGCTTTGAGGTCCCCCCTCCCCGCAAGGGGGGGGGCAAGGGTGGAGAGGGACAAGCCCTGCCCCCCCCAGGTGCTGAAGCCCACACACCAAGACATTCACTGCCTTCAGGACCCCCCCCACAACTCAGCACCCCCAACTCAGCAGCATGACCCCCTAGAGCCCAGAACCCCCCCCACTGGGGGTCCCTCAGCCCCCCCACCCCCCAGGAGAAGTTGTGGCCTGTGTGTGTTGTGTTTCTTCACCCCCCTCCGTTCTCTGTGGTTGGATTTATTCTTGGGGGGGGCAGGCCCAGGAATTATATTGTGCTGTCCCCCCCCGTATTAAACGTGTAAACTGCCTCTGTGTCGTGAACCCGAGTCCTTCGGGGGGGGCAGGGCTGGGCTAGCAGGGGCTGGGGGTCGGGAGTGAGGGGCACCGGCAGAGCTGGGGGGGCCCGGGACTGGGCTAGCAGCAGCGAGGGCCTCTGCCTCGGTTTCCCTGCCTCTGTCCTCACTTCACCCCCCCGCCCCCGTGGGCAGAGCGCGGCCCGGCTGGGCAGGCAGGTTGCCCAGGGTCACGGCTTCATGCCCAGCAGCGCTTGGCTCTGCCATGAAAGCCCCTCGCCGCCGGCTGTTTGTTCTCCGGCCGGGCCCAGCCGCGCTCCCCGTGGGGCTGGGGGGCAGGAAAGGGTGTGACTCAGCCCCGTGGGCCGCCGGCTTCGTGGCTGCAGCGGCCAGAACTGGGCCTGGCTGGGGCGGGCCCTGGGGAACTGCCTGCCACAGGAATCCTGGCACTGGACCGCGGCCTTGTCCCCGAGCCGGGGGCGGGGCCCAGGCTGGGGGGCAGGAGTGGAAGAGGGGCCAGCGGGAAGCTGCAGCCAGCTCTGGGGGGCAGGGGGGCAGCTATTTATACAAGAATCCCCCCCCGCAGTACCAGGGGAGAGCGCCCCCCACTCCCTGCAGCACACGACCCCTTAGGCTGCCCAGGGGCAGTGGGGCCAGCCCCCTCTCTTCCACCACTCACCTTGGGGCTGTGACCCCCTAGTGCCACATTGGGGGTGGGGAGGGAAAGGGGGGGGGTCAGAGCAAGGACCTCAGCCACCCCCCATAACCTTCCTGCCCCATAGCTCCCTCCCCAGCCCATTGCCCCCCCACTACACCCCAGCCCCCCAGGTTTGCAGCTCAGGGCAGTCGCTGAGCGTTAGGGTCCTGGGGTCCCTGTAGCTGGGGGAGGGGACAGACAAGGGGACCCCAGAACTGTACCACTTTGGGGGGCCCTCCCCCCACCCCAGGGGAGATTTCCCCAGCTTCCCCCACCCCTGTAAATCACCCTCCAGGGCCTCCCAGTGGACCCCCAGGCACCCACCCCTCCACCCCCAATGGACCCCCAGGGACCCACCCCAGTTCCCCCCGGACACCTCTCCACCCCCCAGGGCCCCCAATGGACCAGCTCCCCCCAGACACGCCCCACCCCCCAGGGTCCCCTAATGGAGCCCCAGGAACCCCCCAGCTCCCCCCAGACACGCCCCACCCCCAGGGTCCCCTAATGGAGCCCCAGGAACCCCCCAGACACCCCTCCCCCCTCATTTGGTAGACCCTCCCACGCCGCGTCCCCATTGGCCCGACCCTGCCCCCCCCCCATTGGCTCCCAGGGCCACCCGCCCCTCCCCCTCCCCCTCCCCGAGCGCGCGGGGCCGTTTCCACCTCCCCGGTCGCTGATTGGCCGTCGCCCCCCCCGCGCCACGTCAGCACCGCCCGAGAGGGAATGGGCCCCGCCCCCAGGGAATCCCCCAGCCAGCCCCTCCCCTCACAGACCCCTCCCCCAGGGAATCCCCCAGCGAGCCCCTCCCCCCACAGACCCCTTCCCACAAGCCCCTCCCCCAGGGAATCTGCCAGACAGACCCCTGCCCCACAGACCCCGCCCCCCATAGACCCCCTCCCCCAGGGAATCCCCCAGCCAGCCCCTCCCCCACAGACCCCTTCCCACAAGCCCCTCCCCCAGGGAATCTGCCAGACAGACCCCTGCCCCACAGACCCCGCCCCCAGGGAATCCTCTGTCCCTCCCCCCCAAAGACCCCTCCCCCCACAGACCCCTCCCCCCAGGGAATCCTCCAGTCAGCCCCCTCCCCCCCAAGGACCCCTCCCCTAGGGAATCCCCCAGCCAGACCCTCCCCCCACAGGCCCCTTCCCACAAGCCCCACCCCCAGGAAATCTGCCAGACAAACCCCTGCCCCACAGACCCCTCCCCAAGGGAATCCCCCAGCCAGACCCTCCCCGCAAGGACCCCTCCCCCAGGGAATCCCCCAGCCAGCCCCTCCCCCCACAGACCCCTCCCCCCGGGGAATCCTCTGTCCCCGCCCCCGCCCCTCCCCCCCAGCTCCTTCCCATTAAGGCTGCGCGGAGCCCGACCCGCTGCTTCCCGGCCCGTCCGCGCAGGGACCAGACCGGACCGGACCCGAACCGGACCCAGCCCCAACATGAGCCCGGCCAGGAGCCCGCTGCTGCCGCCGCTGCTGCTGCTGCTGTGGGGCTGCGCCATGGGGCAGAGCGACCCGAACCCCGCCCCCGCCCCTGCCCCTAACGCCACGAGGTACCGCAGCCCCCCATCCCCGCCCCGCAAATCCCCCTGCCCCATGACTCCCCCAGCTCCCCTGACCCCCAGCCCCGATCCCTGCCCCACAACTCCCCCAGACCCAGATCCCTACCCCATGACTCCTCCAGCTCCCCCTGATCCCCTGCCCCACAACTCCCCCTGCCCCCAGCTACCCCCTAGCCCTGCCCCATCCCTGCCCCCCAGCCCCGATCCCTGCCCCACAACTCCCCCTGCCTTCCCAGCCCTGCCCCCTGACTCCTCCAGATCTCTCCTGCCCCCACATCCCTGCCCCATGACTCCCCCAGCTCCCCCGATCCCCCTGTGCCACAACTCCCCCTGCCCCCCAGCTCCCTCCACCCCCATCCCTGCCCCACAACTTCCCTTGCTTCCCCAGCCCTGCCCCACGACTGCCCCTGCCCCACGACTCCCCCAGCTCCCCCCTGCCCCCGATCCCTGCCCCCCAGCTCCCCCCTGCCCCTCCAGCTATCCCAGCCCCTGATCCCTGCCCCAGCTGGGCGCTGCGGGTCGGGAGTGGGGGGCACCGGCAGGGCCGGGGGGAGCCGGGACAGGCCCAGTTCCAGCACATCTGGAAGGTTTTAGCGATGGGAGCTGAAGCTGCCAGATGCCGGGGATGAGCCAAAATCTCTGGATTCTCTGAATTCTCCTGGGGGGGGAGCAGCTTGGTGGGGGGGGAAGGGCCAGGCTGGGACCCCAGGGACAGGTGGGGGGAGGTGAAGACCGGATTCTTATGGTCACCAAATCTGGGGGTCAGAGGCCAGACAGAGCCGACTCCGGGGACCCAACACACGGGTGGGCGAGGCTGGGGCCCCGGCCCGGGCTGAGCGTCAGGGGGACGGCGGGGGGGCAGGCCGGGGGCGCTGGTCCCTGCTGGGGGCTGGGGCGGGCCACGCTGGGGCACATGGACCAGGCCGGGACCTGGGGCCGCTTGCTTGGGTGGTCACCAGCGGGTCTGGAGGCCTCACGAGGCAGGACGGGCCCCCCTCCCCGTGGCCTGGCCGCGCTCCCAGCCCCCGGCGCCTGGGCCAGGACAAACAGATGCTGGATCCTGGATGCTGACACCAGCTGCCTCCACCACGCCCCGCCGGGGCCCAGGGCCAGAGGGGAGCCCAGGGCCGGGCTAGCAGGGGGCTGCGGGTCGGGAGTGAGGGGCACCGTCAGGGCTGGGGGAGCCCAGGGCTGGGCTGGCAGGGGGCTGTGGGCCGGGAGGGAGGGGCACCAGCAGGGCTGGGGGGAGCCCAGGGCTAGCAGGGGCTGTGGGTCGGGAGGGAGGGGCACCGGCAGGGCTGGGGGGAGCCCAGGGCTAGCAGGGGCTGTGGGCTGGGAGTGAGGGGCACCGGCAGGGCTGGGAGAGCCCAGGGCTAGCAGGGGGCTGCGGGCCGGGAGTGAGGGGCACCGGCAGGGCTGGGGGGAGCCCAGGGCTAGCAGGGGCTGCGGGTCGGGAGGGAGGGGCACCGGCAGGGCCGGGAGAGCCCAGGGCTGGGCTAGCAGGGGGCTGCGGGTCGGGAGTGAGGGGCACCAGCGGGGCTGTGGGTCGGGAGTGAGGGGCACCATCAGGGCTGTGGGGGGCTGTGGGTCGGGAGTGAGGGGCACCGGCAGGGCTGGGGGGAGCCCAGGGCTAGCAGGGGCTGCGGGTCGGGAGGGAGGGGCACCAGCAGGGCTGTGGGGGGCTGTGGGTCGGGAGTGAGGGGCACCGGCAGGGTTGGGGGGAGCCCAGGGCTAGCAGGGGCTGTGGGTCGGGAGGGAGGGGCACCGGCAGGGCTGGGGGGAGCCCAGGGCTAGCAGGGGGCTGCGGGCTGGGAGGGAGGGGCCCCGAGTGACTGTGGCTCTGGGGGTCTCTCCCAGGCCCGTGTTCCTGTGCGGCGGGGAGCACGTGGGCGACTCGGGGTACATCGCCAGCGAGGGGTTCCCCAACCACTACCCGCCCAGCAAGACCTGCACGTGGACCATCACGGTACGGAGGGCGATGGCGGGGCCGGGGCGGGATGTGGGGAGATCGGGGTGGGGGCATGGGGCAGCGGTGGGGGGGGGGGTCTGAGCCCTCACCCGGCCACAGACACCCCCCCCAGCCGGCCCCCCGCTCACCCGCGGCCTCTCCCCCGCAGGTGCCCGAGGGCCAGGTGGTGATGCTCTCCTTCCGGGTCTTCGACCTGGAGCCGGACCCCGGCTGCCGCTACGACTCGCTGGAGGTCTTCAACGGGCCCTCGGCCGGCGCCCAGAGCCTGGGCCGCTTCTGCGGCACCTTCCGGCCGGGGGCCCTGCTCTCCACCGGCCGCCACATGCTGCTCCGCATGGTGACGGACGAGGGCACCGGGGGCCGCGGGTTCCTGGTCTGGTTCAGCGCCGGCCTGCCCCACGTCAACGGTGAGAGCCCCCGGCGGCCCGCCCGCCCCGGCTGGGGGCTCCCGCATGCTCCCCCCGGGGGGAGGCTGGCTGCAGGGGGACCCCCCGCCGTGGGTGCATGGCCGCTGGGTCTCCCAGGGGAGGCTGGGGAATCGTTACCCACAATGCACCTGCACCGAGGCCGGGGCAACGAGGATGCTGGGTAATCGTTACCCACAACGCACCTGTGCCGACGCCAGGGCAGAGAGGATGCTGGGTAATCGTTACCCACAACGCACCTGTGCCGACGCCAGGGCAGAGAGGATGCTGGGTAATCGTTACCCACAATGCACCTGCACTGACGCCGGGGCAGAGAGGATGCTGGGTAATCGTTACCCACAACGCACCTGTGCCGACGCCAGGGCAGAGAGGATGCTGGGTAATCGTTACCCACAACGCAACTGCGCCGACGCCAGGGCAGAGTGGATGCTGGGTAATCGTTACCCACAATGCACCTGCGCTGAGGCCAGGGCAGAGTGGATGCTGGGTAATCGTTACCCACAATGCACCTGTGCCGACACCAGGGCAGAGAGGATGCTGGGTAATTGTTACCCACAATGCACCTGCACCGAGGCCAGGGCAGAGAGGATGCTGGGTAATTGTTACCCACAATGCACCTGCGCCGACGCCGGGGCAGAGTGGATGCTGGGTAATCGTTACCCACAATGCACCTGTGCCGACGCCAGGGCAGAGAGGATGCTGGGTAATTGTTACCCACAATGCACCTGCGCCGACGCTGGGGCAGAGTGGATGCTGGGTAATCGTTACCCACAATGCACCTGTGCCGACGCCGGGGCAGAGAGGATGCTGGGAAATCGTTTCCCACGCCAGCTCCGCGCCGGCCGTCGTGACCCCCCGGTGCCTGCGCCCCGTGTCTCCGGCTTGCATGGCCCCCCGCCCTTGCCTGCCCCCCAGCGGCTCCCCCCACCCATCCCAACCTGCGGGACCTTTTGCAGGCCGGCCGCGCGGAAGGCAGAAGTGGGGCGCCAACCATATAGACTCCCGGTTGGCCGGGGAGCCCTGGCATTACTGGGACGGTGAGTATCCGGCCGCCATCCCTCTCCCCCCGCCGGCAATGGCGCCCCCTGCAGGTGGCGGGGGGCTGGGGCGGGGCGCAGAGACCGCCCCCCCAGCCCTGGGGGAAGCCGTGGCCCGTCCCGCCCCGACTCTGCCCCCCGGGGGCGCCATTGTGGTCGGATCGCGGCCTGGGGCAAAGGGGCTGGAGGTGCAGAGAGGATGCTGGGTAATCGTTACCCACAATGCCCTGCACTGACGCCAGGGCAGAGAGGATGCTGGGTAATCGTTACCCACAATGCTCTGCACTGACGCCAGGGCAGAGAGGATGCTGGGTAATCGTTACCCACAATGCTCTGCACTGACGCCGGGGCAGAGAGGATGCTGGGTAATCATTACCCACAATGCCCTGCACTGACGCCAGGGCAGAGAGGGTGCTGGGTAATCGTTACCCACAATGCCCTGCACTGATGCTGGGGCAGAGAGGATGCTGGGTAATCGTTACCCACAATGCCCTGCACTGACGCCGGGGCAGAGAGGATGCTGGGTAATCGTTACCCACAATGCCCTGCACTGACGCCAGGGCAGAGAGGATGCTGGGAGCGCGTTACCCACAATGCCCTGCACCGACGGGGGTGTGACGATGAGGGGGAGTTCCCCCTCCATCCTGTGCACCCCCAAACCAGCCGCCTTCTCCCCCCAGCCCGGGATCTGACCCCCGCATCGCCGTCCCATTGCTGTGTCCGGTGGGGGCTGCGGGGGGGGGGCTTGGCTGCTGGACAGGGTGAGACCCCCCCCACCCCCGGCCGCCTGCTTCTGCCCCGCCTGTCAGTCCCCCCCTCCGCTCCCCCCACGGCCTGTAATTACCAACCGCGGCATCCGTGGAAATTGCTGGTTTTTACCAGGCCGTCTCTCCCCTCCCCTACTCCTGGCGCCACTGCCCATCCCCCCCCATCCTATCCCACTGCTGCCCATCTCCCCCCTCTTCCCCCCCCACCAGGGCCAATGCCCCCAAAGCCGTGGGCTGAGCAAACACGGGCCCGGGCAGGGTGACGCTGGCTGCTTCGGGACCTGTGGGACGTCGGCCCTGTGGCCCCGCACCGCCCCAGAGCTGGCCGCAGCCCACGAGGGGCTCGGAGCATGGGCGGGGGGGGCTCCGGGGGGGGCGGAGCTGGCCCATGTGCCTCATGCAGAAGCGAGGGGGGGGGGGGCTCACACCCAGAAGGGCCAGGGGGGCAGCAGTGCAGGGGTTTGCACGTGGGCAGGTGCCTGTTTGCCGGCCCCCGCATGGGTGGGCGCTTTGCACGCTTGCCGGGGCTTTGCACATGGGCAGGCGGTTCGCACACGCCCCGGTCCAGTTTTCCACCTGGCCCCCTCGCACGGCCGGTGGGGGGCCGCACATTCGCACGGCGACCTGGGCCCCGTTGGGCAGGCAGGGAGGAGTTTGCACGCCTGCCATTGCACACATACGCGGCGAGGGCTGCACGGGCAGGCAGTGCGTTTGCCCCTTTCCTCACACGCGTGGTGGGATTTGCACAGACCTGCTCCTGGGCACCGCACCGGGGCACAGCCTTCCACGTGCACGGTGCCCTGCGTCTTTGCACACTCAGGTCCACGTGCGCACGCTTCTGTACCGTGCACACCTCAGGCCCACTCACTCTTACGCTCATGTGCAAACTGCTCTGCGCACACTCACCTGTATCCTTGCCCTTCACGTGCGTGCACACCTGTGTTTGCACACTTACACACCCGTTTCCCTGCGCACACCCCTGTCTCCGCCCACAGCCCAGGCAGGCTCCTTCGTCTGCATGCTTCCCTGTACGGCACGACTGCATTCTCCCAAGCTCACCCTTGTTTGCACAATTCCTGTGCACCCTGATACCCTGCACGGCCAGTGAGCACACGCTCACGCACACTTGCTGTGCACACTCACCCCTCTCTTTGCACTCTCCGCTCTGAGCCGGCGCGCTCCCCTTTGCCCCCAGGGGTTGCCCATGGGGGGGAGGTGGCGGGACAGGTGCCCGCTGGGTCTCCCCCTCGCTGACCTGCCCCCCGTGTCTTGCAGAGCATCAGTTCTGTGGGGGGAAGCTGGAGAAGCCCCAGGGGAGCCTCAAGACCCCGAACTGGCCCGAGAGCAACTACCCGGCCGGGATCAGCTGTTCCTGGCACATCATCGCGCCCCCGGGCCAGGTACGGGGGGGGCGGGGGGGGCTGGGAGGTGGGTGTCACTGTGGTGGGTGGGGCAGGAGATGCAGAGGGTCCATGTGGCGGGAAGGGGCTGAGGGGGCGGGGCTGAGGCTCCGCAGGGGCGGGGCGGAGGGGAAATGTGGGCGGGGCGCAGGCACCAGAGGGGCGGGGCTGACTCCATGCCACGCCCCCCAGGTGGTGGAACTGACCTTCGGGAAGTTCGACGTGGAGGACGACACCTACTGTCGCTACGACTACGTGGCTGTTTTCCACGGGGGGGCCACCGACGACTCCCGGCGCGTTGGCAAGTTCTGCGGGGACCGTGCCCCCGGGTGAGCCCCCGCCCCGGCGCCCCCCCAGAGGGGCCCATTCCCCGCCCCCCCCACCCCCCTCCGAGCCAGCCGGGCCCCACCCTGGGGCCGGCCCCCGGCGCAGGAGGGATTTTCTGACCCGTCTCCCCCGCAGCCCCATCTACTCGGAGGGGAACGAGCTCCTGGTCCAGTTCGTCTCGGATCTCAGCGTCACGGCCGACGGCTTCGCCGCCTCCTACACCGTCAAGAGTCCCGCCGAGGCGGCCGACAAGGCCCTGAAACCTGCCCCCGGGATCTTCCCCGGCTCCAAACCGGGCCAGGCCGGCACCAAGTCCGCCCCGAAACCGAAACCCGAGCCCAAACCCACCACCCGGGCCCCGCCCGAGGCCGAGCCGCCCAGTGCCCAGACGCCGGGTAAGATGGGCCCGTGCAAACCCGGGCCATGCACAGCCCAGCCGGTCCCGTCACTCCTGACCCGTAGCCCCCTGCCAGCCCAGCCCTGCCCCCCCAGCTCCACTGGGGCCCCTCACTCCCGACTTGCAGCCCCTGCTAGCCCTGGGCTCCCCCCAGCCCAGCCGGTGCCCCTCACTCCCGACCCGCAGCCCCCCCCATGGTAATTCTAGGCTGTGTTGTGGCAGGTTTGGGCAGTGTGGTCCCTGGGCTGTGTGATTTGTGGGAGGGGGTATGTGGGTTGGGGGGAAGCTGCCCCCCCAGGCTGAGCACTAACCCCTTCAATCTCCCTCCAGCCAAGGTTCAGTGCCCCCAGAAATGCCGCCGGTCGGGAAGTCTCCAGGGCCACTTCTGTGCCAATGACTTCGGTAAGGGACCCAGGAGTCCGGGGAGGGAGGAAGGGGGGGCTCCCCTGACTCTGGGCCAAGCACCCCAAAGAACTCACACCTGGCCCCCGTGCCCTGTCTCACAGTTATCACCGGCACCGTGAAAACCGTCGTGCGAGGGGCCGGCAACCGGGTCACAGCCACCATCTCGCTCCTCAACACGTACAAGGCCGGAGCCCTGAGCCTGCCCCAGGCCGAGAAAGGGGCCACCCTGCGCCTGGAGGTCCCCTGCCGCCAGTGCCCCGCCCTCAAGAAAGGTGAGCGAGCCCTGCCCCAGAGGTGGCCGCATGCCGGGCGAGGGGTCCTCGTGTCACCCGCTGCCCCGCCCCAGAGGTGGCCGCGTCTCCCACCTCTCCTGATTCTCTCGGTCTCTCCCCCTCCCCCCTCAGGTTCCAGCTACATCTTCATGGGCCGGGTGGACGCCGAGGGGCTCGGCGAATTGCCCCCCGAAAGCTTCGTGGTCCCGTATCGCCCGCAGCAGCACCAGGTCCTCACCACGCTCAGCAAGCGGCCGTGTGGGGGGGCGCCCAAGAGGAACGCTTGAGCCCGGAGGGGCTGGGGTTTGGGGTGTCGGGTCTGACCTGCGGGGGACATGTCTCCCCCCACCACCACCACCCGGTCCAGCTCCCTGAGGCCGGCTCCGTGTATCCAAATAAAGGAGCAAACCGGCCGTTCCGCCTGCGGTGTGTTACCCCGGAGTCACGCCCCCCCCCTTCACACGGCAGAATCTCCGTGCGAATCGCACAAGCACGGGTCACTATGGAGAAGCTCCCACGGGCCATGGCAGAGATCCAGCCCTGGCATTGCCCCCCCACCTCCCTGCTCTAACCCACCAGCCTCCACTGCCCTCCCAGAGTCGGGGAGAGAACCCAGGCGTCCGGGCTCCCAGCCCCCACCTCCGCTCTAACCCACCAGCCCCTGCTCCCCTCCCAGGGCCTGGAGAGAACCCAGGTGTCCTGGCTCCCAGCCCCCCTGCTCTAACCCACCAGCCCCTGCCCCTCCCAGGGCGGACCCAGGTGTCCTGGCTCCCAGCCCCCACCTCCGCTCTAACCCACCAGCCCCTGCTCCCCTCCCAGGGCCTGGAGAGAACCCAGGTGTCCTGGCTCCCAGCCCCCCTGCTCTAACCCACCACCCCTCACTCCCCCCCTGGAGCCTGGAGAGAACCCAGGTGTCCTGGCTCCCAGCCCCTCTGTGGCTCCCTCTTGGTTCAGGGGCGGGGGGGAGGAGCTGGTTCCATGCGGCCCCTGGTGGCCGTCCCAGGCTTTGGCCCGGACTCGGCTCCAGGGGGCCTGGCCCCCTCTGTCCGGCTCTCAGTGGGTTGGCGGCTGGGGGGGCAGGCGGGGATAATGGACTTGTGGGGGACGGGGCTGGATGGTGGAGGAGCGAGTGTGGGGGGTGAAAACGGGCCTGGCCAGGGATGGATTCGCTCCGGATTCGCTCTAGTTTCCGTTTCATGCAGGGTTGGCTCGGATCCGGAGTCACTTCAGAGCAGAACTCCCTTTCCACTCCCCCTGGTTCCGGTCTGCTCGGGGTTTGCTCCAGAGTCACTCTGGATTCACTCCGCTCCTGGGGCCTCCAAGCAGGGGCAGGGCCAAGTCAGGGCTTGGGGCCGGGACAGCTTTTGGGGGGGGGGGGCGCATCCTCTGTGTGACACAGACACCTCCCTGCCTGAGGACCCTGGGGTGGGGGAACCCCGGGCTCTGTCTCCCAGCCCCCCATGTGTACAGCCCCCACAGCCCATGTCCCTCCCCCCACACCAGCGCTGCTGAGCTTCCCTGCCCGCAGTTCACCCTCCTCCCTGGGCCCCAGCCCTGACCCAGAGGGACCCTGGGGGGAGGCTGGGCCCTGGCTGGCGCTGGGCCAGTGAGCACGGGCCGTGGGACAGCTGTCTGTGCTGCCCGGTGCTGGAACAACCCCCCCGCGCCCCCAGAGCCATAAATAACCCAGGGGCTGCGGGTCGGGAGTGAGGGGCACCGGCAGGGCTGGGCTGGGAGGGGCTGCGGGTCGGGAGTGAGGGGCACCGGCAGGGCTGGGGGGGCCCAGGGCTGGGCTGGCAGGGGCTGGGGGTCAGGAGTGAGGGGCACCGGCAGGGCCGGGGGGCTGGGGGTCAGGAGTGGGGGCAGAGGCCGCAGGGACAGGGATGTGACCCTGGCTGACCCCCAGGGGCGGGTGCCATGGGGGGCCCAGCAGATGTGTGGGGGGGTCATGGCTGCACCCAGGTGTCCCATGACTCCCCCCCCCCCCGCCCAGCCAGGCCCAGTGTCTGCCCCCCACGCTGGCCCAGTAGCCAAAGGGGGACCTGCAGGAGCCCAGGGGGAAGTGAGCCGGGCGGGGTCACGTTTCCTCCCCGTCTGACCCTTCTGCTCACAGGGGATCAGTCACCCCCCCGGTCTGTCCCCACCGTGGTACAGGGGGCCCATGCTCTGTATGGGGGGGCCTGTACCTATGGGGCACCCCAGGGTGGGGGGAAGCGTCCCCTTTAAGGCTGGGCCGATGGGGGGTGTGTGTGGAATGTCTGTATCAGCTGGCAGGGGATGGGGGCGGGGCTTGGGAGGCTCGAGCTCCAAGGGGGGCGGGGTTAGAACGTTGAAGACCCACCACCTGGGGGGGGGGGGGGGTTGAGGGCCTGATCAGCTGGTGGGAGGGGAGGGAGCCTGGAGCCCCCCCCCCCCCCCCCCGCTTCTAACCCAGGCACCGGGGAGGGAGGGAGGCAGCACACGGAGGAGGGAGGCCCCCCCACAGGATCCTGCCCCCCATATCCCCTGCCTCTGAGCCCCCCCCATCCTGCAGGAACCTGCCCCCCATATTCCCTGCCTCTCAGCCCCCCCCATCCTGCAGGAACCTGCCCCCCATATCCCCGCCTCTGAGCCCCCCGCATCCCACAGGATCCTTCCCCCCAAATCCCCTGCCTCTGAGCCCCCCCCATCCTGCAGGAACCTGCCCCCCATATTCCCTGCCTCTCAGCCCCCCCCATCCTGCAGGAACCTGCCCCCCATATCCCCTGCCTCTGAGCCCCCCGCATCCCACAGGATCCTTCCCCCCAAATCCCCTGCCTCTGAGCCCCCCCCATCCTGCAGGAACCTGCCCCCCATATTCCCTGCCTCTCAGCCCCCCCCATCCTGCAGGAACCTGCCCCCCATATCCCCTGCCTCTGAGCCCCCCTGCCCCACCAGATCCCAGGCCGAGGCGGGGGACAGACGGACGCCACCCCCCCATGCCAGCCTGTATCCGGGGCGAAGGCCTGGCAGGCCGGGGGGCAGGGGGGCTTCCCCGCTGGATCCCTTCTCCTGCCCGCCGGGGAGCTGCTGCTTGGGGGCAGGGCCAAGATCCCCGGGGGCCGCTTCACCGTCTGGGTTCCCCCCGCTGCACCTTCCCGAGCCGGGCATGACCAGGGGCGAGAGGGGGCAGCTGGGGGGGCCGCCCCCCGGCCCCCCTTCCTCCCCACCCTCGGGGTGATGCTGCTTCTGCTGGCGGGCAGGTTTGGGCTCCAGGCCCAGCTCAAGGCGGTGTAGGCTGGTGGGCGTGGACTGGGGGGGTGGGGGGCAGTGGGTACCCCGGACCGGACCCTGGGGGTCCTGCCCCCCCCAGACCACGCCGCCGGCTTCTCCTCTGACGCTTTATTAATTCCCAATTCTAGCGTGTGCGTCTGTCAATCGTGGTCCATGATCGGGGGGAATTTGGGGGGCCCCGTTGGCGGGGCGCGGGCGGGATCCGGGGCTAGCTGCAGGCAGGGGGGCTGCGGGGCCGGGCCGAGCGCCGGATGAGCTCCAGGGCCTCCCACAGGAAGTCCTTCTGGCAGGGGGGCAGGGCCAGGGCCCCCACGGCCTCCTTGACCTTGGCCAGCCGCCCGGCCAGCGTGGGGCAGCCCTGGAGCTGGCTCAGGTACTGCTCGCAGGCCTGGGCCCCCGGGCTCTCCGGCGGGGGGGGCGCCCGGCTGGGGGGCAGCTCGCGGTACCCCGGCCCCCCCTCGATGTCGTGGCTGGACAGCAGGTAGAGACACTCGCGGGTGGAGCACAGGCTGCTGGCGCAGAGCGGGACCTGCCGGGGAGCCGGAGAGAGGGGGGAATGCGGCTGGCTCTGGGGCGGGGCGGCTGGTGACACGGGGACCCCTCGCCCGGCGCTGAGATGCGGCCGGCTCTGGGGCGGGGCGGCTGTTGGTGCCAGGCCCTGCTCCCCCCAGATGCGGCTGACTCTGGGGCGGGGTGGCTGTTGGTGCCAGGCCCTGCTCCCCCCCAGATGTGGCTGACTCCAGGGCGGGGTGGCTGTTGGTGCCAGGCTCTGCCCCCCCCACCAGATGCGGCTGACTCTGGGGTGGGGGGCGGCTGTTGGTGCCAGGCTCTGCCCCCCCCACCAGATGCGGCTGACTCTGGGGTGGGGCGGCTGTTGGTGCCAGGCCCTGCTCCCCCCAGATGCGGCTGACTCTGGGGTGGGGCGGCTCCCCCCGGCCCCTCTCACCTTGACCTGCAGCTTGATGAAGGTGGCGCTGCCCTTGGGCCAGCCGGGCAGCCGCCCCCCGGCCCCGCAGCCGCAGCCCAGCACGGCCTGGCCCAGCTCCCGGCTCTGCAGCAGGGCCAGCGAGTGGTTCAGGCCGCACCAGATGTCCAGGGGGCACTTGAGGCCATGAACCTGCCCAGGTGGGGGGAGAAGATGCCAAGTCATGGGGGGGCCCCGAGCTGGGGGAGGGGATTTGTCGGAGGTCTGGGGGTGTCTGGGGAGGACGTTGGGGGGGTGTTGGAGGTGCCTGGGAATGGGGGGCTTCCTGAGAGCCCCTAGATGTGGTGGGGGGCTGGGGGGGCCTGGAGGGGGGCTACGGTGGGCCAGGGGTGCTGGGGGGGCCCAGAGGGGCTGGGGGAGGTCCAGAGGGGCTATGGGGGCCCAGAGGAGCTATGGGGGGGAGAGTGGGTGGCCCAGAGGGGCTATGTGGGACTGTAGGGGGCCTGAGGCAGCTATAGGGGCCAAGAGGCCCAGAGAGGCTATGGGGGGCTGTGGGAGCTTGGGGGAGCTGTGGGGTCCCAGGGGCTCTGGGGGGCCTGAGGGGAGTTCAGGGGGTGTGGGGCACCAGGGGGATCGGGGGGGGCTGTGGGGTGCCGGGGGTCTATGTGTGGCTGGGGGGGCCCGGGAGAGCTCAGGGGGTCTGTGGGGTGCCAGGGAGCTCGGGGCGCTATATTGGTGTGGGGTGCTCCGGGGGGCCTATGGGAGCAGGGGGGCTGTGGGGTGCTGGGGGGGCCCCGGGGGGGCTCTCACCAGCGTGGGCTCCCCGCGGTCGATCTTGTCCCCGGTGCCCAGCTGCCCGTAGCGGTTGCTCCCCTGCATGAAAAGCCGCCCGAACTCGTCCAGCAGCCCCAGGTGGTTGTAGCCGAGGGCGCAGGACAGGACCTGGGGGGCAGGGCAGGGTCAGGGGGGGCGCCTGGGGCAAGGGGACAATCCGGGGGGGGTGTCATACCCCTGTCGACGCTGCCCCCCCCTCACACAAGGCTCCGGGACCCATCCCCCACCCCCGGGACCTTCCCCCCAGCGCCACCCCCTGTCACCCGCAAATCAGGGCCCTGGGCCCCCCAATCCCCACAGCACCCCCAGCCCTGCCCCAGCTCCCCCCAGCCCCCCAATCCCCACCGCTGACCTTGGCGGGCAGGGCGAGGGCCAGCGGCATCTGCAGATCCAGGGGGTCGA